CGGAGTTAGGGTGGAGTTGGGGCGGAGTTAGGGCGGAGTTGGGGCGGGGCTGGGTGGGAATGGGCGGGGCCAGGGCCCCGTGGAGGGTTCTCTTTTTTTATTTGTTCAATATGGTAACCCTATCCCACCCCTGCTCCTCTTCCCCTGAGGCCCTGCCCTTGGCCTGGGAGTAGAGGCTGCATTAGGGGTGGGAATTTCACTTTGTGGTTTAAAGTTGGTACCTGCCTCTTCTGCTCCCTCCTCACTAAATCCTTCTGACACCTTCCTGGCTGTGTCTGCTGCTGGGGATGGAGCAGCTCCAGCAGCGGGAGTCGAAGCTTTTGCAGGCAAATGAGAAACAGAGCGAGGAACTGCAGGGACATCTCTGCTCAGCCTCAGGTGTCCAGGACAGAGGCAGCTCCCTGGGATCCAGGCCTGTCCCAGCCAGAACAGGGCTGCCGGGGAGTGTGAGGACTGGACCCAGCCTCCCCCAGGGCTCAGCTCTGTCGCTAACGCTCTGATTCTCTCTCTCCCCAGAGAATGTGACTCTGGATCCAGACACGGCTCATCCCCAACTCATCCTGTCTGAGAATCGGAAAAGTGTGAGCTGGGGAAACACACGGCAGCAACTGCCCAGCAACTTTCAGAGATTTGATTCTTGGGGCTACGTGCTGTGCTGTGAGGGGTTCACCTCGGGGAGACATTGCTGGGAGGTGGAAGTGGGGCCTGGGGGATACTGGGCCGTGGGGGTGGCTAGAGAGAATGTGGCCAGGGGAGAAAAAATCCTCCGTAGCCCTGATGACGGGATCTGGGCTGTGGAGCTGTGGGGGAATCAATTCTGGGCTCTCACCTCCCATGAAACCCCCCTGCCCCTGAGCCAGGTCCCCAAGAGGATCCGGGTTTGTCTGGACTGTGACCAGGGGCAGGTGACCTTTATCGATGCTCATAACAAGGCCCCGATCTTCACTTTCCCGCCGGGATCCATCCCTGGGAAGAGAATCCAACCCTGGCTCCGGGTGGGGTCGGGAACCCAGCTCAGACTGTGGCCCTGAGGGATGCGAGGGTGCGGGTGGGGGCTCAGTGGGGGCCAGTGGCGGATTAATGATTTTGCCGCCCCTAGGCCCAGAAATAATTGCTGCCCCAGGCCCTATATTAACTTGTTTTAGTCTTTTTACAAATTTGTTTGAACTAAAATAAATCTAAATATCACTACTATTCTCAACTATTTTTTCTGTCTCACTAACTGATTAAAAAAAAATCTATTTTGCACGTTTGCTATCATTTCATTGTACCTTTCTTTCTTTTGTATAGCATTTTCTTTTAACTGAGAACCGCTTAATTTCTTCCTTCCGGTCATATTAGTAATGTTTAGGATTCTCGCGAGTATGTTTACTAAATGGCGCCGCGCCGTCATCGATGGTTTCAATACGTGTTATGATTGGTAGAATCGTAGCGTCAATGATGCCGCGATTACAAAAATGCTGCTATTATAAATTTGCCGCCCTAGGCCTAGGCCTTGTCAGCCTAGGCGATAATACGCCACTGGTTAGAGTGACCAGACAGCAAATTTGAAAAATCAGGATGGGGGTGGGGGGTAATAGGAGCCTATATAAGAAAAAGACCCAAAAATCAGGACTGTCCCTATAAAATCAGGACATCTGGTCACCCTAGCGCTGGTGGGGGCCCTGAGCAGGGGTGAAAGTAAGGCGGTACGGGCCGGTACGGCGTACCAGTAAAAAGTGGCTGCCGGTACCGGCCCCTACCGCCTTACTTTAACCTCCCTTCCCCTTTTGTCCCCCCAGGCTACCAATGGTGGGGGGGGGGGAGCAAAAGGAGCAGCTGCCCTGGGGCCAGCAATTTAGAAGGGCCCGGGGCTCCGATCGCTGCTGCGGTAACAGCGGGAGCCCCCAGCCCTTTAAGTAGCCGCTGGAGCCCCAGGCGGCGCGGGCCAGTGGCCAGACAGCCTAGAAGGGCTGGCTGGGGGACACTGAGCTCCAGGCCCGCCCTTTCTGCCAGAGGCCCCGCCCCTTCCCCTGGGGGGGCGGGGGCGCAGCCAGTAGGGTTACCATTCGTCCGGATTCCCCCGGACATGTCCGGCTTTTAGAGTTAAAAATAGCGTCCGGGGGGAATTTGTAAATGTCCGGACTTCCTCCCCCCATGCAGAGCGCGCGCGGCTGACAGGGCAGCCGGCCGGATGGTGCCACTTACATGGGGCTCCGACAGCCAGAGAGAGCCCCTCCTCCGCTTCCCCTACAGCAGAGATCACTCCCTCCCTCCCTGCATTCGCAGATCACCAGCCGGCCGTTCGCACCGGCAGTCTGGAGCTCCTCCCCCTGCTCCTCCTCCCCGGCACGCTGGTCTGAGCGGCAGGGTAAGGGGGTCAGGTGGTTGGAGAAGGGGCAGGGAGGTTCTGGAGGGGGAGTCAAGAGACGGGGGGGAGGTCGGGAGGGCTTTCTGGGGGTGGGGGGTCTGGATAAGGTTTTGGGCAG